GGACATCCTGTAGACTGCACCCTTAGGAGTTCTACTGCCAGGCTCTATCTCTATCCTGTGCTGGATGGGTTGCGACACTACTCCTGTCCGCGACTTAGTCAAGTCTTTGAATTCTTCCAGCAGCTTGGCAATTGTTGGATCTATCCTTTTCCTGGGCCTCAGTGACAGGCCTGACATATACTACAAAGACCGGGTCTTCTAACTGCTCCTTCTTTACTAATCGCGCGAATGCGGGAGCACTGAGACAGCAATGTGTCAAGGTGTTATCTACACCAGACACATGGAACAAGCGAGCAGTCTTAACCTCGCCTGACGGGCTAGGGAGCATACACATGCTCTCTCAAATGAAGTGTGGCGCCTGCTGCCTCTCCCCAATCCATTCCTAACACTATATCGAAAGGAAGGTCATCCTGCACGAGGAGAGTCAAAGAATGGAGTCCACTTTTCCATTTTTCTCTAGGCGAAAGTACGCCTGGACTCCCTCTACGTAGTCCTCAACGCGCATCGTGCGGTTGTCTGCGAGGACACTAACTATGGGGTCTACTAGTTTTTGGACCTTTAGTCCTAGCCTCAACTTTTTCAGCGCCCTACGGCTAATGTAACTGCGGGTAGCCCCTGAGTCTATAAGGGCCCCTACTCTACTTCTGAACACCTCTACATCTACCAAAATCAGTTGTCCCTTACTCTCCCTTTTCATTTTGGCCCAGGTTGGCATTCTCTCTTTTAACTCTTCTGCCACACCTGTGAGGGACGTGCCTAAAGAGACGCTAACACAAGCAGTCTCTGGACAGCTATCTAGGCACGGGCCTGCAACCTCTACATAGGCTCATGTGGGTTGGGAGTGTCCTGTTCGCGCACGCTCACTTCTCCACATGGCCTGGAAGTAGGGGCAGTTGCGACCCCTACTGGCGGCTGCCTTTTGACTGCTGGGCAGCCCAACGGACCTGTCTATACTTTGGACAAAATTTGATAACGTGGGCCGGGTCACCACAGAATACGCACTGACCCATGTTCACGCGTTCCTGCCATAAGCGCTGGTCCAAGCCCAGATCTTCCCAGGGCCTGCCCTGTGGCAAGCCTGGGTGCCAACCCCCTTGAGGTGCCCTTCCACCTCCTCGCTGTGGGGACCAGTTACCCTGGCGATTTAACGGGGGACCTTGACCCCTACCTCCCGCTTGGCGGTTTCCATGTCCCCCCCTGTGCGCCCGGTCCTCGGCCTCCCATGGCCTGGCCCCTTTGGCCCTGGCCTCCTCCTCTACCTTGCGGCCTCCCTCTGGCCGTGATAGCAGCGTAAGACCTCCCCTGCCCCACACTATTGCCATCATCTTCAAGGCCCCACTCAATCTGGTCATATGGGACCTCATCGGTACCACCTTCTTCTAATGTCAGGATCATGTGATCCTTGGCCTTTACTTGGCCTGAGATGGTACGATTCTTCCACTTCTTCCCCTTCTCTAAGTCCTTATGCCAGAAAGTGGTCACTGGCATAGACTTCAACTCATACAGGATGACTTCCCTACTCAATGCATCGTAAGTCATGCCGGGCTGCTGAGATTTGTCAAAGAAATGCCCGCGTAGGGCCTCTGGAATGGCACGATAAAACAACTGGACCAGCTGGAGATCAGCGACTCCGTGGTCCGGGACGGCTACCAAGTCGTCCATAGTACCCTTGAGTGCCTTAGCACTCCTCCACTGCCGAGAGTGGATCGTTTGGAGCTTATCAGAGGCTCTAATGCCTCGCGTTGGGTCAGCGAACCGCTCCTTGAGGAGCTTGAGGAATTGGGAAAGAGGAGTGACTTTGAAATACGCAACCAGGTTGTTTTCACAACCGGCTGTACGCGCGAGAGACCTAGCGAAGCTAGCCGCTTCGTCCTTTAGGGCCTGGAAGGCCACGAGGACTTGCTCCTCCATCAGGATATGCTGTAAATAAATGTAACTATTGACACTGGCCTCCCAGTTGTCAAAGTTCTCGTTCTTCTTTCCCCCGTACGCGTCTGGGAACTTAAGTTTCACTGGGTCCTTACGGGGTCTGCCCTCTCCTTCTACAGCGGCTGCAGCTTTGGCACCCTGAATRGCGCCCTCACAAAACTTCCCTACATTGTCCCTCAACTGTTTGACTTCGCCCCCAATGTGGGTGACGATTGCGCGCGCAAAATCCCTAAAACCGGATCGCATGGCACTCAATGCTACATCCTGGCTCCAGCTTGCCTGACGCTCCTCCATCCAGGCCTTGCTCAACACCTCTAAATAGCCCAGTACTTTGTCCCACTTGGCCTTATCATCTGGCTGGGCCAGCACCTCTGCTCTACACTCCTACACCTTTGCCACTGCAGCGGTCATCTTATTCACTTCCTCTCTCCTCCTTTTCTTCTCCCTCTTCATTCTCAGCTTCCATGCTAACTTTTGCTCGTCTTCCCTC